CCGGCGGCGCGACTTGGGCCGCACCTGCTTCTTGCGCAGCTCCGCCGCCGCCCTGGGGGCGCTCGGGTCAGTGTCGAGGCCGAGGCGCGTGAAGTTCTGCGCGGCGGTGCTAGCGCGGTCGAAGTATTTCTGCGTGAAGTGATTGTTCGCGCCCGCCACGTCAACACGGCGCACGTGGGCGAAGCGGCGCTTCAGGTACTGCCGCTTCCCCACGCGGGTGACGGGGATGTTCTTCTTGACCTTGCCCTTGGGCGTGACGCGCAGCCGACTCATCTGTGCCTCCTCGTCTCTGTCTCGTTTTTGTTGGTGTTGTTGCTGTTGCCTCCGCTTTCGTGTCCTTCCGCCTCCTCTTTATTCCGCCTGCCGCTTTCTGCTACTCTGCGGGGGGAGAATCGCCGGGCGAAGGCAGCGAGAGCGGGGTCCATCACCGATGGGGACGAAAATAGCAAAATAAAACACAAAGAAAGGGAAGAAAGGGTATCACTAGTATCAGCAATGCTTTGCAGCACCCAAAAGCAGACATATTTACTACCTTTCCCCTACTGCCGCGGTCCTTCTGCTGGGGGCTTCATGCCTGCTCATCCTCACAACTCCCGCTCTTGTTGCTGTCTCGTTTAGTGCTTCTTGTTCGCCCCACCGCCTTGTGGAGGCAAGGGCGTGCCTATGCGTGCGCAGCAGCAGCCGAACCCGTGACAGAGTGAAACACAGGATTCTTGAAACAAGAGGTGGGAAGGAGATTTACTCTCTCTCTCTCTCCCCCCCCCCTCAAACACACACCGATATATATATATATATATAATAAAAATGACAGGCTACACACAAGCATGTGTACACCAATATGCACGTAAATCTGTAGTGGGGGGAAAACCAATGCGATATGTGCCTTACGGTTCTCCGTCGTCCTAACACCTACGCCGCGCTGTGCTTCTTGATACGCCGTTCGTCCTGCCACGTCAGCGTCGCCTGAATCTGCTGGCAGAGTGCCTGTCTGTCAACGTCCGTCAACACCAACTGTGGCTCTGTATGGGTGCTGAGAAACCACCGCGAAACGCGCTCCACCACGTCCATGAAGCGAACGCGGGAGATTTGGTTTGTGTCGTACAGCGGCTGGATTTCGTTCTTGATGAACTGCAGCACCATCTTCCGGTGCGCCGCCGCAGACGAGAGGGGCAGCTGCGTCTGGGACGTCCCCACTGACGCGGTGCTGCATCCCGCAACAGAGTAGGGAAGGGAGGGAGCGCGGCGAGCGGAGCTCCCCTCTCGTCTCGTTGTTGCTGCAGCAGCAGCGAGAGGACGGAAGGGAAGCAGCTTGACGGCGTCTCCACGCGAGCGGTGATCGGCGTAATCCTGCAGCAGCTGTAGGATTGCCTTGCAGCGACCCTCACGGTGCAGCGCGTGGGACACCGCCGCGTAGAGCAGCTGCGCATCGTGGTGAAGCGCCGCAGCGCTCGGCAACGGAACAGGAAGACCGTCCACACTCGGTGGGACACCCCGAAAAGACTGGATCGGAGCGGTGAGCAGGACCTCCTCGCGCAGGCGCCACTCAAACAGCTGGTATTCCACCCGGTCCAACTGACGCTGCGCAGTGAGGAGCGCATCCTCCTTGGAAGTCAGCATCTGCGCAATTTCACCACGCAGCTGCAAACACGTATCATGACGTTCCACAATGCAGTCCTGAATGTACTCTATCGATCCTTCTTCCCGCACCCCAAGTGATTCGAGTTGTTTGCTGTCACTGCCACTGCTGGTGGTGGCCGGTGCATACCTTGCCAACTCCTTCGCCAGCGCCAGAACCTTCTCAAAACTATCCGTCTGCTGTTCTTGCTTCGTTTGCTGCTGGCGACTCTGCCGCGCCGCCTCCTGTGCGGTGCGCAGCTGCTCCTGCTCCCACTCCACCTCTGCCTTAAGGCGGGCCTGCAACAGATTCTCCAGCTCCAGCTGCGCGACACAGGCCAGCATACGTGCCTTGAGGGACATCCTGCTCGACACGCCGCGGCCGCGACCGACGACCATCGTGTCACGCATCGCGTTAAGGTCCCGCACCACGCGGCTCTGCTGGCGGCGCAGTTGCAGCACCGTTGTCCGCGCCCTCTCCAGTCCGGTAGCGAGCATCCCTGCGATGTCCTCTTCCTCCGTTAACGCCGCAGCGAGCGCCGCCTCCTCGCTGGCGAGTTCCGCGTCTAGTGCGTTCTTCTCCGCTGTGAGTGACTGCAGTTGGCGCCGCAGCTCACCACACGTCGCCTGCAGTTGCGGCTCCTCGCGCATGGCCTCCGCCAGCTTGAGCTCCAGCTCCACCGTCTTCTCCGCCCACGACACGCTTCGCCCGCCGTCTACACCTGCTGCTGCCTGCAGCTCCTCCATGTCCACCTCCTTCGCCGCAATGTCATGCTGCAAACGACGCTTCGCATCACGCAATGCGTCCAGTTTATCCTGCAAAAGCTGCAGCCGCCTATCGGCCTCCGCGCGGGCCGTCTCTAGCTGCCGCTGCAGCGCCTGCTCCTCGAGGTGCTGCTTCTGCACACGCACACGCAGGCGTCGCAGCTCCTCTCGCGCGTGCAGCTCTGGTCGCCGCTCTTCGTAGCGCTCTGGCACGACGTAGCGCAGCGAGGAGACATCGCCAATGTCCTTGCGCAGCAACGCCAGCGCCGCCTGCACTCGGTGCACACGCCCCGCCCTCCGCAGTTCTGCCCGCGCAGTGCGATTCTTTTCGAGCTCCTCTTGCTGCTGCTCTACTGCGCGGCGGACGGCCGCCTCAACGCTCTTCAGATCACCATCGCCACCGTAACCCGCGGCCGCGCGCTGCTGCTGCTTCTGCGCCCAAAACGCCCGCACGTGCGGGTCGACGTACTGCGCCACCGCGCTGCGCACCTCCTGCTGCGCCTCGCTGCGTGGCATGGTGGCGAGACGATGCAGCATGACGAAGAGAAATGCCTCGTCGCGTGGCGAGGTGAACCAGCGCTCCACCGCCAGCGCTGCGTCGACACGGCACTCGTCGCGCAGCCGCTCCCGCACGGTCCGCTCCAACTCGGACGCATTCGCACCTCCTGCCATTGATGGAAACCTGGAGGAGGAACGCCCAGTCACGTACCTGCGCGCTGGCTCCCCGTCGTTGCCAGACAGAGAAAAGGGCACCGAAAAAGACCTACCGAAGTTCGTTTCACGCTCTTTGCGCCGTAGCTCCTTGAATCCCGCTGAAAGCTCATCATTGACCTGGATGTCAAGCAGCTTCTCCACGAGGCGCGTTCTGTGGTGCAGGAACTGCGCATTAAGGTCTCCTAGCTTTAACGCACGCGTCTCCAAGCTTTCTGCCATGCTCTTGCTGTTGTTGTTGTTCTTGGTGGTGCGTGAAGACGCAGTAGACACCTGCCTAGACGCCCCCCGCAGCCCCTCTCTATGGGCGCTAGTTGACGCCATCTACGGACCCCCTACTGCTGCCGCTATGTATGTAAGAAAAGGTGTGTGCGTTTGTGTGTGAAGCCACAGAGGTACCGTGTCGATCGTTACCGGGCGAATAGAAATTCACCCTTCACACACACAGACAGACACACAGACACACACGCAGGAGAAGGACAGAAGGATCATACAAGAGCCAAAGCTGCGGGGACACACACCAAGCCACAGCCACACTAGTCAATGTATAACAACAAAGAGAAGAAAAACCAAAAAAAAAAAAAA